AGAAGGTGTCAGCTCAGCTTGGGCAAACCAAGCGGATCAGGCAGAGCTTGGTGGCTGAGCGGGCACCCCCAGGGGCTCTGCCGGGCTGTGTGCCCCCCTCCCTGGGGGGGGGGGGAGCGGGCAAGGCATGGAGATGGGGGCAGCTCCGAGTGGGGAGCCCAGCCTCCCACTGCAGCGCATCACCCTTGACCGAGCCCCGGGAAAGCTGGTGTGGGTGGTGGGCATCGCTCGTTCTTTGAGAGGGCCTGGGGGGGGCCAATCTACAGCCTCGCTGCCTGGGGGGGGCATGCCCCATCCCTCCCGGGCTCATGGCCAGGGTGGCCCTGGGAAGGCAGGGGACATCTGCTCCGAGCTTGGTTTTTGGAAAGGCACACATCAAAATGTGTATGTATATATATATATATATTTTATATATATATAAATTTATATTTATATTTATATATATAAAATGGGGCTGGACAGGGCAGGGCAGGGTAGGGAGGGGGAGAGCTGCAGAAATTGCTACCTGCAGCCGCACGTCTCCACGACCATGTCCTCGTACTGTTTGTAAACCACATTGTTCCCGGAGTCTATGTAGAGGATGCTGATGGGGCTGAGCTTGGAGGGCACGCAGCAGCTGGGGGGGGTGGACTCCGGGTCCATGGAGTTCATCAGGGTCTGGATGATGGCGTGGTTGGTGGGCTCCAGGTGCGAGCGCAGGGGAAAGTCGCAGACCCCCTCGCAGTGATACGCCTCGTAATCCAGGGGGGCGATTATCCAGTCGTCCCAGCCCAGCTCCTTGAAGTTCACGTGCAGGGGCTTCCTGCTGCAGCGGGTCTTCGCCTTCTTCCCATGGCCTCTGCCCCCAGACCGGGCGGCGATGGTGGTCCGTCTCTTCCTCCGCTTGGAGTACGCCTCCTGGCCGGGATCGGGGGGCTCCAGGAAGGGGGGGCTGCCCAGGGCCTTGATCTTATCCCGGATCTCCTTGAAGAGGTTCTCCTTCCTCTGGGTGCGGGAGAAGGCCACGAGCAGGGCTCGCTCGTGGGGCTGCGGCCGGGGTTTGCTGAACCCCAGCTGCCGGGGGGGCAGGAGCCGCCCCGACTGATCCGAGACGATCCTCAGCAGAAAGCACAGCAGCTTGCCTGAGAGAGACCTCTCCCTCCGATCCCGCAGGGCTTCCCAGACATCAAAAGCCTCCCATCTGGAGGAGCCCGCGTCCAAAATGTCTGCAGCCCTGGAGTCCAGCAGCCGGGGTTCTTCGCCGTCCCGGCTTGGGCAGGTGAAGAGGAGGAGGTGGTGGAAGGTGCCTTCAGGGGACAGGGCCAAGCTCCGGTTTTCGGGGAGGGCACGCAGGACCCGTAGCTCCGCGCCCGTCACCTCCTCTGCCTCGGGCAGGCTGGAGATGTCGAAGAGGTATCGCTGCTCGGGGGCAGACGGGGAGGCATCTGGAAGAGATAAAACAAAAAATAAAAAAAAAAAAAAAGGAAAAAAATATAAAACGCCAGCAAACTGAAGCCAAGCTCTTGTTACAGAGGTGCAAGGGACACAGAGCTAACAGGGGAGATGATCGCCTTGCAGCAAGGCTCTCTGAGCATCCCAGCAGGGACACAGCCTGTGTGCCCTCCACCCGGGAGCGTCACCCTGGCTGGAGGCACCGAAAAAAAATGGGGAGGAGAAGGCAGAAAAGGAGGGAGGAATCAATTCAAACAAGTGGCTTCTCATCAGCACTCTTCCTCGGGACCCAAGGTGACTTCTCTGCTTTCTCCCGGGTGTTTCAGTGCCTCCAGCTGCATCCCTATCCTGTTTTGGCACAGAAGCCCCATCTGAACCCGCACAGTCCCATCCCCGATCAGCAGGTTGTCACTGATTTCTTCTGCCCTAAGTGTCACACACTCCCCCAGCCCCAGCCATACCAAGTAAAATGCTGTGAAAAAAATCTCATTTTCCCTCACAGGCAGGCACAGGCACACATGTCAGGGACACAGACACTGTCCCTCGGGGTGTCTGATAGAGGCACTCCCAGAAGCTGAAAGTGAGCCCAGCTTGAATTTGTCACTATTTTTGGTGGATCCGAAGCCCAAACACAGACTGATTAAATATACTTGATGTGAATTAAAGGAAAAAAAAAAAACCAAGAAACAACCCAAAGGAGGTGAGCTTGGGGAAAACAGATGAATGAGTCCTGGGAGGGTTGGGTTTTCTTTTTCCCCTCTCTAACAAGAAACCTGAGCTGAGCATGCTGCAAACGTTGGTGCTGTGCCCGAGCCCCCCGACCCGCTGCCGGCAGAGCCCTGTGCCGCCGGGCTGCAGCCTGCACTGCCCTCCGGGGGGGAAAGATGTTTCTCCCCGACATTTGCTATTATTATTATTATTGTTATTATTGTTGTTGTTGCTGTTGTTGCTGTTATCGTTATTACTACTACTATTATTATTTTTATTTTAAAAGCAGATCTAAAATTCCGGCAAGGAGCAGCTAAGGAGATCCCTTTGAAGAGTTCATCTGGTTTCGTTTTGCGCTGAAACTTCCCAGGACCTGTGAGCAGTTTTCCCCCGGCTCTCCCCAGCCGGGCACTGCCCACCCTCCCACCGGAGCACCCCCCCCCCCCCGTCCCACCTCGCTTCCCCGCCGCTTCCCCACCAGCTTTCAGCAAAAACCTCCCTGCAAAGGCTGCCGGCAGGATACGGCCCCTGCTGGGTTTGGGGATGGTTTTGGGGGGGGGGGGGGGGGCTTTGGGGGGGTCCGCACCACCAGCCGCCGCTCTCCCACCCCCGGGGGCAGCCGGCTACAGGTACCGGGAGAGGAGGCTGGGGCTGCTTTTCAGTTTGTCTTTTCATTTTATTCGATCGGGATTTTATTTCTATTTTTTTTTTCCCCAGCCGAGCAAGCGTCGCCGGCAGGGCGCAATGTATATATATATATATATATCACATATATATGTTAAAAAAAATTAAGTACGTGTACGTGTTTATTTGATTATTATCATTAGATCCGCGGGTCTGAAGGGGGCAAAAGGGGGGGAGGGAGAGGGAGAAGGGGACCA